AAATTATTCATATTAAAGCCACTTAGAATATCCATATGAAAAAGAACTTCATGAAATTTTACTAGTAAATATGCTAATACTAAAATATAAGTTTAGAAAATGCAGTCAAGCTTTCTTCTTTAAGTTGATTCAAGTGAAACCAATATTTAATTAGGCATCTCCTCAAGCTTCTCCTCACATCTTTTCTTTTCTTTTTCTTTTCTTTTTCTTTTTCTTTTGCGAGGATTACTATATCTGGATAGACATTAATGATTTTGAACTTCACTATCTTCTTCTTAAAGTTAAAAACTTTTCACATTCCTTCACTTTATAAATTTATCTTAGCTTTAAAGATTTTTCATAAAGTTTTATTCTTTTCCTTTTACTTGAATCCCTAAGATTTTTAATTCTTCAAGAATACAAATTCTTTTACTTACAATAGAAAAACATAGTCTTATTCTATCATACCAAATATCTTAATCTCTAAAATAAACCTTTATTATTAAAACTTTTTACTTAAGTTTACTATGTATTTAGAAACACAAATATAGTTATCTAAAGTTACCCTATAATACCAAATGTCATTTTAAATTTTAAAATATTTTGAAAATATAACTAATTGAAGACAAATAAAATTAAGTTTCTTTTCTTTAAAAAGAAATTTTCTTTTCCCCCCAAACTTAAATTTTTAAAAGATTTAGCATGAAAAACTAAAAAAATAAAGGGTGAAAGAAAACATTTAATACATAAAGAAAAGACTTACCTGTTGAAGGTTCTGATTTGAAACTTAACTCTGGAATATTACTGGTGCTAAAATGAAAAACTACAAGACTTAAAACATTAAATAACACATAATACATATAAAAATTTACTTAGAAAGAGTTAACTACAAATACATCCAACAAAGCTCCAAAAACTAACAACAATACTAAAATGGTTCCCAATGTAAAAACAGTCTCACAAATCTACAGTTCACAACACAACATAACATTTAAAATAAAGTGTTACACTCTAAAAACAAATTGTCTCAACAATAAAGTACAACCAAACATAAACTAAAGAAAAATCTAATTAAAGCATCACCAATCATTATCTTCTTCTTCTTCTTCCACATCCAAATTTTTCTGCTGATATGGGGTAAAAACAGGGTGAGTAAAAAACTGAACCGAGTGATCACCCCTTATTGTATCTGACCATCACATCATCATAAGAAGCATCATATTCGAACTTTTGTCTTGTCAAATTATCATTGTGTGCATTTCTGGCCTCCATATTTTCCATTCTACTTTCCATTATCAAGACATATCCCTGTTCGATCATCATCTGCTCCATAAGTTCTTGGAGAGAAGGGGTACTAGAAGTAGTAGTACTTGAAGTAGAAGGAATATCCCTGGTTTTACTTCTAGACCTCCATCCAACATGAGATTCATAAGTCTTTATATTGGCAGACCCAATAGGTTTTAGAGGTTCAATCCTCTCCTCATTCATTCTAAAATCAACTCTTGCCTGTTCGCATAGTGTGAAGATCAGGGCAGGGTGTGCTAAACCACCAGTAGTCTCTCCCAAAGCAAGAGATCGAGTGTTTCTATAAATAATAGAGCCTACATCTATCCTTCTCATCTGCCGGATACAAAAGTTCAAGATGATAGTGCCGACACCTCACTATGATGATTTGTTGGTATCATTTTGCCAGAAATAAAGTAGTGTCAGGCCTTAGATACTAAATTTAACATAGAAAGAGAAAAGTTTATCTTAACACCATTCTTCACCTTCCAAGCTCCTCTTCCATCAGTAAGAAAAAGAAATAACTTCATCTGAGGCCTCATTTGTAGCAGAAATCAATTTATGCTGATAGCTATACACATCCTCTAACAGATA